GCAAACGCTGATGTGATAATACAAAATATGATCGGCAAAATGATCGACATGTGATATAAGTATGTCCACCCTGCTCATCCCGGGCAATTAGACAGTTTATTCGAAGTGAACCTTCAATTTCTGCTGGATCTGTTGCTGCCAAATTAGAAGATATAGGAGTAGAAGTCTTTCGCTCAACAGTTTCAAGACATTTGCCTGACCTGGGATATCGAAATGCACTTCCTCTTCGCACACCAATGTTAACTACACTCCATAAACAAAAACGAGTTGAATGGGTTCAAAAACACAAGGATGATGATTGGAAAATGACCCTATTTAGTGATGAAACAGCTTTCCAATTATTCTGTAATACGATAAAGCATTGGTATAAAAATGCAAGGCCAGTTCGTCGAATGCCAAAGGACCGTAGTAAAATCTTTGCTTAGGGTGGTTTTTGTGTAAAGGGTACTACCAATTTTTTTTTGTTTTAGGCGTATAATGAATGGAGAATTCTACACGGAGATATTAAAAAAACATATACCGAAAGTGCACAGTATGTTACAGGACAATTGGCGATTACAGCAGGATAATGATTCTAAGCATACTAGTAACATTGCTAAGGATTTTCTTGCTAAAGAAGTCCCAGAGGTTATGGATTGACCCTCTAATAGTCCAGACCTAAATCCCATTGAAAACCTTTGGGCAATTGTTAAAAGGAATGTGGAACAGTGTAGGCCAAAAAACCTTGGTGAATTAGAGTGTTTTTTGGGGAAGGAGTGGGGGAAAATTCCGGATAGCCTTCTAATTAATCTTGTTAACTCAATGTCATAGCGTTGTAAGGAGGTTATCGAAAAAAATGGTGAAAGAATATCCTATTAATTTTTTTTAATAAAATATACATAATTTTAGCTTTAAAATGACGCATTGTACATTTTAATTGATGCATTACTTATGGAACTAACGCGATTTTAAAAAAATTCATTTTTTTTGCACACCACTGTATATAAATACTATATAATAATAAATACTATTCTTATTATAAAAGAATTCCTTTATATAAAAAAATGTATATTACAATAAATAAAACATCTTTTTATATAATTTTGTATTTAATTTATATAATTATATTCTTATTATATGATAATTAGTATTTTATAAATCTATATAAAATAAATATATATATATAAAATAATAATAAAAAATAAAAATAAAAAAAAATATTATAAATAATTATTATAATAAAAAGATATTGTATATAGATAATAAATATTATTATAATTAAAATAAAGTAAAAATATTAAGTACAAAAAGAATTATAAATACATTAACCAAAAATTATGTAATTTTTCTACAATAAAAAATAAAAGTTTACAAAAAAAAATATATATATATAAGCATAAAAAGATTTAATAATATTAACAATTTTAAGTAAATTTATCAACCCATTTTTGTCCTATTTCATAATCCATATTATTATTAAAATTTCCAATTTTTTGTTTCTTCTTCAATAATAACTTTTTTGTTATCATGTAATGGAGGATATGTAGAAGATTTCATTTTACCATTTAATTTTTTTAAAGTATTTTCTGATACAACATTTTCATCATGTTTATTGTTATCTTCTTCATCATCTAAATCACTTAAAGCTTCACCAAACAATAATTCTTTAGGTAAATTTAAACTGAATCCATCTCCTGGTGTCCATGTAGCTCTATGAAGCAATTTTATTGATTGCCTTGCCTTTGCTCTCAATTCTGCTCTTTTTTCCTCCTCTTTTTTTTCTTCATTTGCATTTATTGCTGATTCAATAGTTTCACAATTATCATGATTTGTATCATCCTCATTGTTCTTTGATTTCTCCTTTTCTTTCCTTCTTTCTGCACGAAGTTTAATTGAATTATTTATACATTCAATATATGTCGTATATTTAACAATTTCATATAATAACCATTGAGATTTTTTTTCCCAATTCGAAAATGCTTTGGAATAATTTGATGATTTGGGATGAAACTATAATAAATTATAACAAGTTAGCAAGAAAAAAAATAAAATTAAAAAAAATCGCAATAATATTTTTTATACCAATTTTGTCATAGGTTCCCAAAAATTTTTGTGTTCTTCCAATTCATTCTCAAGATCAATTCTATACTTTTTTAGGGCTGCCAGTTGTGTATCCTTTTTTTTTTAAAAAAAAAAAAAAAAAGAAAAATAAGAGTTTTATCTTTATAATATCGACGTTTCAAAAAATACACAAAAAACATACTTCATCAAAATTACTGGAAACTGTTGGTGGTAATGGTATTTTCCACTCGCTAACAACAATACGATCACTCGTATAAGTGGAATTGCTACTCATTACACTACGACCATCACTCATGATACTTCTGCCATCTTCCCAATCCTCTCCACCATCTAGGATAGGTTCTAAACATCTACCCCAGCCATATTCCATGCTGCTCACACCGCCTGTTAAAGGTTCTTTACTCATACGTGATGCCCAATAATTACATGTAGTAACCCATTCATCCACAAGTTCAGCTGTTCCTGCTTGGAAAAAGTAAAGTCCCCCATTCGACATAGAAAGCGCAAATACGTGTGGACGAGAACGGTTATAACCAGGTGGTGGTAATGCATTTGTAATTGTATGACGAAGATTAACTTCGCCCATCAAAGTAGCATTCGCCTAATTATAGTGAAATAATATTTGTTAGTCAATGAAAATAATATTAAATGGTTAAATTTAAAAATAAATCAACACACCATCCAATTACCGCCACCAATAGCACCCATTCCAATAGAACTATGAGAAGAACTATTTTCAAATTTATACATCTTAATATCACCCTTCTCAATAACAACGAAACATTCTTTCCAACCCTTATCCTTTGCTCTCTTGCTGGTTGCTTCCCAATAATGTTTTCTAGACAACAATCCTTCTTTAGCATAAGGTGCACCGGATAAATATAATTCCAAAGATTCTGTTGTTGAAATTGAATCTGCGATAGAATCTCCGTCATAATCATCTGGATCATGTTCATCAACCATTTCAGGTATTGTGGAATTAAACCCTGTTTCGGATGATGAAGCATGGCGTAATGAAAACGATGATAATGTTGTTGAAAGAGTTTGCGAGCTGCCTGATCGATTTAAGCTATCAAGCTAAATCGTTTTAACAAATATAGACATTAATTTAATAATTAAAATATTATAAACGTATAGTTTTGGGTATTATTGCTTACCCCGATACTTGAATCACTACCTCCACTAACAACACTTGGACTTGGAGAAATTCTTCCGTTAATATTTTTACGACCTTTTACGTTTCCTGCAGACCTACCTTTCTTGAGCGCATTTATTCTTGAGTTTGGATGAACCCAGTGACTCATGCTTCGGTGAAGTCCTGGCGTCAGTGAATTTGATTGCTCAACGGAAGGATTAACTTTATCCAATGAAGACGTAAGCGGCTGTAAAATCTGATTTGATTTTATTGCCGAATACATTTCCTTCAAAAGAACTTCAACTTCTGAATCCCAGTGACGTCCTAAGATAAATGACGTGTTGGTTAAGTTCGAATTTGGATTACTGCGCCAACTTTTTATGCTTCCGCTGCGTCGTGGACGTGTTGTAGATGATGTTACAGTTGTCTCAGATGTTATCGTACTTTGATCGTCTTCGTTAGAATTTTGTGCAGCCGTACAGGCTTGAGCATGATGTATAGCTGCGATAGTATTCCGAACGAATTGTGAACGTGACATTTTACTTGTCACTTGAGCAACATGAAGGTCGGTATTGAGCAGCAGGATAGAATATGCGACTGCGTGAACTATGTCTGTAATCAACATCAACATCATTAATTATTTTTATTATTATTTTTTTTTTTCAAAAAAAAAGATATATTTGAATTAAACTTACCAGCACTTCCATAAATAGTCTTTGGATTGCATTCCCAGTATTTTATTGAAAAAGATTCAAGTATACGATCTACTTGTTGCGTTTCACCTTTTATATACAACTTTTCGCATAATCCTCTATTAACTCAAAAGAAATGAATTTATAAAAAGTAAATTATATGTTTTTTTAATATCGTAACTTTATTATAACGAAAAAATTTACCGAAAAGCTACATCTAATCTTAAATTTGAAAAATCAAAATAACCCATATAGAATTTTAATGCCCTGGAATTTATTAATTTACTGTATTTATAATTAAATTTAATAATTAATATAATATAATAAGAAAGAAAATAAATAAATAAGAAATTTAATAACTTACTGTCCACCTAAAAATTCTGTTATCGACTCCTTCTTTATGAAAGTCTCGTCTTCATCAAAACATCTTTTAGCAGCGATTCTTGCTTCTGCCCATAAGATTTCATCCTCATCCTTTTCAGGAACATTTGGTGGAAAATCATCAAAATCTCTGTCTATAGAATTTTCAGCAAGTACAAGATCATCATCTACTTGTATTTTAGGTGTTCCGTCAGTTACATTGTTAGTTTCTATAAAGATATCAGTTATTGGAGAATGTGGTGCGGTATGAAGAGTCGAAGTTGAGCCACTAGCAGTTTCATAACTTGCAATGCTGGAAGTTTGACGCATACGCGGTGAAGAAGATACATTAGACTCAGATATTGGGATTATTTTCGGAACATCAGGTAATTTTTTATCCGGTCTTTTGGGTATTGTGCAAGGACTGAGACCTGAATCTATATTTGATTCAACACCCATCTTTGGTTTCATTGCTAACCCTTTTTGATCCGCATTAACATTTAATGATCGTTGATCAGAAGTAATCACCTCCTCTTTACATGATGAATGTGTTAATTCTTCATTTGATTCTGTATTTAAAAATGAATTATTAGTTTCGAATAGTAACGTAAAGTCAACCGTTGCTATTAAAAATTAAACCCAATATTCCTTACTTAATATGTTTGGATTAACTTTTGTAATAAATTTAATTCCTGAATTTTGCTTTGTATAAATATCTTCAGAAACAACTTCTTCAACTTGTTCTAAACCAGCTGATATTTCTTCCGGTACTTGTGCTTTCTTTTCACTCATCATAAATTTTGTATCTGCAAATTCTAGTTTAGAATCCTTATATATAAGCTGTACATTTTCATTTGTATTATTTTCAGTATTTCCATTCCATTCGTAGGTTCTCCCAATGTTATCGGGAACACTTTTATTTGCACCTTGTAGAGGCATGCGATATATTCCAGCCCGTTGGCGATTCTCACCATTAGATTGTAAATTAACATAGACTGAAGCGAAATCTTTGAAAGTACGTTGTATAAACTCTTGTTCGTCATCAGGACCATTATCATAATCATTTTCTGACAATGTTGTATCATCGTTTGTGTCGAGATAGAGTTCTGTGTTTGGGTGTTCGGTAGAATTTTTTGCGGATGAAGTTGGATTTTGAAATAAATCTGAGGATGAACTCTGTGAATTGGAAATATCTTGAAAGTCGGGAAGAGGTAGTCGACCACTTTGTTGTGATGGATTATCGCCATTTGGCTAAGTCATTTTACCAAGTCAATATATAAAAGGTGAATACATCGTATAAGATTTCTTTTGAATATAAAAATTATAAAGTCTAATTTAAAAACTCTTGTTCACCTTATTGCTTAGTTTTTTGAAAAAAGTCGAAGTCTTACGCATAGTATTCTTCATCGTATTCTAGATATTATAAGGAGAAAAATGTGGAATAAGAATAATGTAACTTGATAATATTTCATCGTTGTTTATAATATGCATGGTTGCTTTTCTCAAATTTTGTTCCGTTTTTTTCCGATATAATATATATACACACGAGAGTATTTTTTCAAAAGTAAAAAAAAATACACAAAAAAAAATAATATACTTATTTCTGTTTCTTTTTTTTTTATCATAAATATTAAGATTTGAAAAAAAAAAAGGTTAATCCATAATGTTGCTTGGAATATAACTTACTTTAAATCCTTTATCGTCGTTTTTGTCAATAGAAACTAAACTATCTTTTCTTTTACCAGATTTTTTGGAATGATTGTTTAAAGGTTTTCCACCAGCAATACCACTTCCCAAACCGTATGGACCATCGGGACAATTGACAACAAACCCACTTGCCAGCTTCTGTTTCATTAATGCATCATACTCTGCTTCTAATGACGTACCAGTATTTGATGCAATAAGGTTAGGCACACTGACACTACCAATAACAGACTGTGATACATTATGGTCAGTAGCAAAATGGTTGTTACTTTCTGTTATTATTTCTTCTGTTGTGTTTTTGTTATTATATGATGATACCGTTGCAGGAACCACTCGTTGTTGGGGTGGTGCGGACATTGGTCGATTTGTAGGCATAAATTCTTTCTTTTTAAATAGAGAAAAAAAAGTTTGCTTTGAATTTCTTGTAGAAATGTTTTGTGATGTATAAGCATTAAGAGATTGTGTAGGAGGTTCGGGTAGCGGAGGAGTTTGGGGTGGGTTTATTGTAAAAGTTTCTGAAGTTACTGCATTTGCCTTTTCACCCATCGGAGATGAAGGGAGTTCTAAATTTTCAGTATAATCGTCATATTCGCTGTCTGATGTAAGTATAGAGGCAGAACCTGTTGGTGCTGAAGTCGAATACTTTGACATCGTGTTAATTGATGCTTGCGATTAACTGCGAGCGTAACTAGAAACCTAAAAACAAGGTGTTATTAAATGCAACATATTGTTAAAGTAGTGGAATGTTCCACTGTAGATGTTGACATACCTTATATTTTATATTTAACTTCTTCGCTGTTCAATAACACCGAAGCATAAAGACGTTATATTACAAGGAAGGAACTACACATAAAGCAGTTAGATCGGGTATTCTTTTCACTTTTGATTTTTTTTTTTTTTTTTTTAGAAAAAAGATGATGGTGGGTATCTTAATTATTCGGAAATTTATTTTTTTTTGAATAAGGTAAAAAAAAGTGGTTACACTGTGATCTTTAATAAGGTTTCCGAAAATTAAACTTTGTCTGACAATATATAAAAATATATTAGCCCAATTGCCAAAATAGAAATATGAATTTTTTAATGGTTTCAAATAACGCGCGAAATTGAACAAAATGATGACGACGGTGCAAACCTAATACATATCATGAAAATTTATGGCCCAATGCAGATTGTTACGAGCTTCGGGAAATAAAACTATTTATGATTTAATTTAATTGTAACGATCTTCCAAAATTGAAAAGCAAAAAAACTTATAATTTTGGTTATTCCAACCTTAACAAGAAAATTTTCAATATTTTGACGATAAAAAATCAAATTTTGCGAACCTTTCTCATTCTTTATGACTAGAATGAACTCTGTGTATTTAAAGCCATATATTTAATTACTTTTGGTGTGACCAGAAACACAAAGTAGTAATTTCAGAACAAATATGTACTTTTCACTTTCTTATAGGATGAGAATGAAAAATCAATTTCACATCATCAAATACAAATATAATAAACAAGCATAATGGTGGTTTTAATGTTTGATTGAGAAAAAGATGAAGGTAAATTAATATTAGATTGGAAGGTATATTTTCTGCCTATATGAAAAAGTAATCAGTGTTATTGTTAAGCATTTTGGGCGATAGGCTGTTGCGGAATTTTTTATAACATCTTGTATAAAAATTGATTGAGTATAATTATCTAAGCATAAATTATTAAGGTAAATACGTGTGGGTTGTAGAAGTAAATTCAGAACTATGCAAGCAATGTCTGAGAAATGGACATGGGAAGATGATGTTTCTAATAACAATTTATCTAACTTTAGGTAGAAGTTCATTGGAGTGATAAAAATGACAGAAACAAGATATAAGATAAGTATTAATAATGGAATAAGGAGACGTAATGAGAAAAAGAATCTTCAGCATGTTGCTTTTCAGGATATTTCATGAAACAGAGATTAATGCAGATATTTAGCAGAATTTTCAGAATTTTGATTCATCAGTGATATAAAAGCTTGAACGATTAAGATTCAAATTATCACATAAAGCAAAAACTATTGTAAGATCTCAATCCTATTATGAGCAAATTGTATTCCGTTTTTATCTTTTTTTTATGACATCGATAAGCCCGATATTGACTTTAAATGGTTGTTGGTAATGAAGCCACGTAATCTTTTCAGTGTCTTATTCTAAATCAAGTTAAACATTCGTTTTATTGCGAAGCCATTAACGACATGTAATCATGTCTCACAGGCCGAGTCCCGAAAGTTAAAATTTAAAATTTGGGAAAAAAAAGGCGCGGTTACAAGTCATGACACATGACGCTTTACTATCTATTAATAAATTCGGTGAATAAAAACTTTATTGGAATTATATTTCGAATGGTGCAGCAATAATAAGCAATAATACATTTACTCAAAATTTTACATATATTAATTAGTCTCCTTTGTTGAGCGGATCCGTTGATCAGGTTTTCGTGATCAAATTCCAAATTCTATTTGTCTGATCTGTGATTACAACAAATAAAATAACCATTATCATCAAGACCACAGAACAACAAATCTGGATATTAGTCACATGCCTTCGGCATAGCGTCTGGCGCTGCAACAATAATTATATATACTGAACCCAACCGTCACTGTAACTTTTTTTCGTTCTTAAATTTTTTCGCGTTTATGTTCTTAAAATCCCTCTTTACCTATATTATCTTTTCACTATACCTATTTTTTTTTGTTTCTATGCTATGGAAATTGGAAAAAGACGTATAAATAATGGAGGATAAATGCTGGAGCCGATGAGCCAAAACGGTCGTCTTATCACATTTTAGATAAAGAGTTGAAAACTTTTAGAACCCGTGGAAGAAAGTTTTAGCGTTAAAGCAATGATGGGCTTTGAACACATTAATTAATTATAATAGTTAAATTGTTAATTGAAAGGTTAGAAAATTTACGTTCTTAAGGTTATGAAAATATTAATGAAAGTAATAAGTGTGCTACGCCCTGTGTTATCATACATAGGGAAGAAGAGCGTCCAGACATAGAGCTCCTGCGACGTGCACATCTTACGATGAGGTTCTTTGATTTAGGTCTGCTTATTTTGGAAGAGGATTACTCACACATTTCTCTCTTTACATAACTACCACAGAAATCATCTGGAAAAAAAATTGACGAAGAAAGGAAAAACGAGTTAATGCTTCCACTAAGTGTAAAGTTATAAAAAAACGACAATATGACCTTCGATGACGATGAAGAAGTCATCCAACCAGAAGTTTAAGCACAACTTGAAGAAGTTCTCGCGATTTCCATTAACCATACTTCATAGATTTCTTTACCAGAAATCGTTCTAAATACTATACCAAATTTGGTCTACCTCGATTTATGTGGTTTCTTTTTTGGTTTTGACTTGTATAAACGAATTGAAGTGGTGTTCCTCACCATCCATTCAATAAACTCAACTACCGAATCTAAAGACCAGCGTTTTCCTGATGAGATTATGAATTGGTTAGAGTTGAACCGCGTAATGTCACAATGGGTGCTTTGAAGTAGAAAGGGAGGAACTGCAAATATATATATATATATATTTGAGAGATTCCTCTCTTTCTACTGCAAAGCGTCCAAATATCTTCGATGCATTAACGCAACTAGATCGGCTTGGATGGCCATGCTTTGAAGAATTTTGTTGGAAAACCGGATTTTATGATAATATAATGCTCATTCATCGAGCCAAATAGTTGATAATCTATATAATGAGGAAAAGGAGTTTCGAGAGGGACCATATGGGAGCGTTTTCAGTAAAATCACATTACGGATCATATGATTTACTATGCCTCATGACTTGATTTACTGGAAACGTTCCCATATAGGAAAGGTTCCAGTAAAATCAATTTACGAGACATAGTAAATCATAGTGATTTTACTGGCGACGCTCCCACATGCTTACTCTAATGATGCTACGATATATCATCCTATAAACCAAATTTGCGGGTTACATGGATGCTAACAAATCAAAGACCGCTTTAGACATTTGGCAATCAATTTCGGGTGGTGTGGATCAAGTGAATTCAGACATTTACAACAGTAAATTTCCCATGATGATATAGATTCTGTTTTGGCCAAGCCTTCGTCTTCGTAAGAAACATTACTGTCATATGACGTTGTGATATAATATCACAATCTATGTAGCGAATTAGACGCAACGCACATATTAATAAAGTTTACTTATATTTCTGTGTGGTCTCCGGTGTATCGGAATGATAATATAATTAAGATCGATGCCGTACACTGCGATGAATTCTACTGCGCTCTTGTAACATACTTGCGGGGATGAAACACATTTTTTGCATGCAAAGTTCGCGCAAAGAAATAATCAATCCTGATTACAATTACATTACTGAAAACTTCAGAAGTATAGTAAAGAGGGCACGTCATAGGCTTTTGCAATCTTATACCCCTAGAACAATTTCCCTTCAATAACAGATTTTAGGATTTAAGAAGATATACTTTTAGTTCTAAACATATCTGAGAAAGCAGTTTAGAAAAGAGAGAAATCACATGATTCATTTCCCTGAATTCAGTTCGTTTTACTAAGAAAAAAATATATTTTTTTTGTATCAAAAAATGAAATCTTAATATATCCCAAAATCTATGATTGAGGGGGATATGGATCAGAAAAAAAAACATTACATCCTTAAGGCTGGTTAGCACTCACATCATTATATATTACAAAAGAAATCCAAAGTCTGTAATTATGAGGAAGAAAAATAACCACTGGATTATGAAGAACTTTGATGCCTTAAATCAGCTTAGGATACCATTTATATGATACTCTCAAAACAATGATTTAGCCAAATAGTTTGTCTATTCATGAACTTTACCTCAAAAAAAGATCAATTTATGCATTTGCAAAATTAATTTCATGATTGGTCACATTATTGATTTTGTCAATGCCTAATAACCAAAGAAAAAGAATTAAGTGTCTGTGTTATCATCCGAAATATTCACAGAATTGTGAGAATGACGCGCATTTTGGAGATCATGCTATATTTTTAGTTCATCCGGTTTAATTCTGGAATGTCGAAATGGCAATGACATCACGATAAAAATTCAAATCATAAATTTAGAAATGATTGTCCAAATCTTGTTGGCGATATTAATTTATTATAAATTAATAAGTTTCATTAACGAATGTCAAAATTTCAAAGTAGCTTTATAAAGTGATCAATATGGAATACCAAAAGATCCGGCCCAGTCACGATTCACGTTCTCAAATAAACAAACTTCTTGTACAGAGGGAATTTTACCCAAACCAGAGGCCATACACAAAGGCTATTCATTCAGATCCATATGTTGTTAAGCGTTTTAATAAACCCGAGAGTTTCGTTGGTCATGACGGTTGTGTAAATACTGTTGAATGGAATGAAACAGGCAGCCTTATCTTGTCAGGCTCAGGCACGTACGTGAAATCATAATTATTTATTAGAAGTTGATAAACTAATATATTACTTTTCCTACTTGTATCTAGATGATTGTAATCTTAATATTTGGTCTCCATTCGATAAACCCGAAAAGCCTCTTATCCATTCAGTACCATCGGGTCATACTGCAAATATCTTTTCTGCTAAATTTCTGCCAAAGACAAATGATCGACATATAGTTTCATGTTCCGCTGACGGAATCGTTAGGTTCACGGATCTTAACGATTTTATTGCTTATTCTCCTTCCAATGGTTGGAACCCTTCACCAGCATTTAAATGTCACACGAATATGGCGTAAGTTCCTTGAATTATATTAAAGGATTAATGCAATTTTGTTATCCAAAAAAAAAAAATTGAAATAAAATAAATAAATAAAATAAAATAAAAAAAATCTATAATTATCTTTTAAATACAATTAGATTTGAAGTTTTACCCGATCCAAATAATCCATACGTGTTTTTCTCTTGTGCAGACGATGGTCGAATAAAAAGATATGATCTCCGCATTAGTAAATCTTGTGATGAAAATTGTAAGCGTCATACATTTTTGGACATGAATCCAACGCGTAAACCAAAGAGGAGTGATTTACAAAGCAGAGACCAACCTAATGATAAAAATGATGATGCTCGTTCACAAAGCGAACCCGAGTCAGAACAACAATCAGATCGTACGATAAATTTTTTTCCATTTCGCACACGTAGAGAAGTGGGCGTCACGGCTATATCGATCAGACCAGATAATCCTGATTATATGGCTACTGCTTGTGGAGATGATACTGTACGAATATATGACCGGCGCTTTATCTCATCAGGTTCAAATATTTCTTATCATCAAGATAGCCAAGTTTATCGATTTATTCCTACTGCAATGCGACAAAATCTGGATAAAGAATCATCGAATCATCATCGAATGACTAGTTTGAAATATGATCCAAATGGTGGTGGTGATTTATGTGTTAGTTATAGTAGTGATAAAGTTTATTTACTCAGGCCAGGAGCTGGTCTAATTGATAAGCCAAGAAAGACAAGAAAAGGAGCAGTTAGTATATCGAAAAAGAAAGAACGTGACGAATCAGAGTCTGAAAGTAAACCGTCAGAGGATAACGTGGAAAGAGAGTCCCCTATTACAAAAATGGTTGGTAAAGGAAAAGCAAAAGAAGAAAATTCATTTGAAGAAAGAGACACTATTCCAACATCATATTTATTTGAAAATACTATTAAAAATAAAGAGGTTGATAATTATGATGATGAGGTTTTGAGTGATCAAGATAATCGGCAGCCTGAAATACAAAAAATTAATGAAATCGAGGAAGAAGACGACGATGATGATGATTACATGTATAGTTCTGGTGAGGACGACGAAGAGGATATAGATGAAGCGCACGATGAAGATATAGCCATGTCCTACACCGGTCATTTAAATTCTAGAACTATGGTGCGTTTGGAATTAATTTCATTTTGCTTATTTGAGTTTAAGAAATTTCTCTAAAATTAAAATGAAATGATCCTAGATTAAAAAAGCATATTTTTTTGGAGCAAAATCCGAATATATTATGTCTGGTTCGGATGACGGTAGTGTATTTATATGGGATAAACTGACAGGAAAAATTGTCAATTTATTAAAAGGGGGTGACACGGTAAGAGATATATATTCATTTATATATAATTTTTTCCGAGTTTAAATCCTTCTCTACTAACCTAATGTATTATAATGAAATTCAGAAGGTTGTAAATTGCGTTCAACCACATCCGTATTATCCAATTTTATGTACATCCGGAATTGATTATGATGTGAAACTTTGGTATCCTAAAGGAGAAGAAAATGATCTTTCAGATCTTGAAAGGATTTTAAAGCATAATGAAGAAGCAGCGCTTCAAGAAAATGCTATGGGTAGATGGGGAGGCACCGATAATCAATTTTCGATATTATTTGGTAAGTTTGTGATGATGATTATAACATTATTATTGATGCCTGTTTCTTTAAATTAATTCGCTACTTTTCATTATTTATGACATAAGCTTTACTCAGCGAGTTCGGAGCTAACATGTCTAACATGTTTGATGAATGATTAATTTTAAATAATTTTGGGTTTTAAAAAAATGATGCTTACATATTTTAAGCGTTTTTTTTTTTTTTGTTTTGGTGTTTTTCTCTTTATGATTAATTTATAGTTCACAATTTCTTTTACAATATAAATAATATAAATCGAGTTCCTTTTGGCAAAATAATTAGTAAATTATCATTCATTTGCACAATTTTACGAATTTTATGAAACACGTGAAATAATAACATTCAAAAGGAAAAGAAATTATTTTATGTTTGTATCAGGTTTGCCAATTTTATAAAGTACGAAAATTCAGAAAAATGCCAGATTTCTTCAAGAATTATGCCGAAAAAAAAAGTAAAGAAATGCGAAAAAAGAAGATATGCGAAAAAGTATGCGATAAAGAAAAGGAAATTTAAAATGAAATGAAATATTTGGTGTTTTTTTTTTTTGTTATGTTTGCGGATAATATAAGGAAAAAAAAATTTTTTTTTTTTTTTTTTTTTTTTCTTCGGCAAAAGAATTTTTTTTTTTTTTGAAAAACAAACTTATAAAGATCATAAGTCCAAAGTAAAAAAAAAAATTAAATAATTTGCCCAAAAAAAAAAAGAAAAAAAAGTATTGCAGTTTGTTTTTTTTTTTTTTTTTTTCCTAATCATAATGTTGCGTAAAATAAAATCCTTATCCTGATGGAATATCGAAAAAAAACTTATTAAATTATATGGTGTGAACATAAAGGTGAAGTGAGATATGTGAGAATGAAAAAAGTGAAACATAATGAGATTGAGGTGGTGATGGATAGGATTTTTTTTTTTTTTTTTGATGAAAAGCGAAAAATTATATACTAATGCGAAGATTAAAATGTATTAAAAATTGAATGAAACTATGAAATGCGTTATGAAAAAGAGAAAATATCTATAAAGTTCCTATATAAAAACCGTTGTATATATTCTAATAAAGAAATTTCGTGAAATATTCTCGTCTATTATTAATGTGTTTATAAAGAAAAAGAAAAAAAAAAGGGAAAAAATTAATATTAATAATTGAATACTTTTTTTCTTTTTTGATCCTTTCTTTTCCTTTATAACATTACACTCGAAGAGTATCTAAAGAGACCATTATCTATCACATCTGATATCTTAACTATGATCTTGATAAGAAAAGAAAAGATGAAATAAAAAAATTTCTTCATTCATTCACGGGAAGTATGGAACATGAGATACTCTTACGACATTATATTACGAATGTCGATGACTTGTTTTCCCGTTAAAACTAATTTTTCCCAACATAAAGAATAAAATAGAAAGGGGAAAAGACGATAATTTCAAAATTAAGAAATTAAATAAATGTTCGAAAAATACGACAGAATAAAGTTCGATAATCGCGTCAGAGATTTTTTTTTTTTAAAAAAAAAATACCTTACAATTGAATAATATATTAAACGCGATCTTAAAGAATTCCCGCCATTGCAAACTATGTAAATCATCTTTTATATCCCAACTTATGAATAATTTCCAACTGGGAAAAAAGAAAAAAAGATTGTATGTACAAGTACTGATTTGGAAATATAACTCTAATTAGGATGGATCTAATTTTGCCAAACGTTTTTTTAACAATTTCTCATAATAGGTCCATGATTCAACATTTTAACACCTTCTACTTCGCCATCATATCTAACTTTCTTAACAGGTCTCCCTAATCGATGAACTCTTAAATGTCTTCGCATATTACTTTGTACAGAAAATTTTCTTCCACATCCAGATTCAGTACATACAAAAGGTTTTTCGCCTGTGTGTGAATAAGTGTGAATGCGTAATGAGCTTGGACGAGAAAATCTCTTCGAGCAATAAGGACATTGATATCTATTATTAGTATTTGAAGTGGTTACTCCAGCTACTGGTAAATTTATTTGATGATTATTGATAATCTTTGGTGTACCCAACCTTCTTGTGATAACATTTTCATTGCTCAACACTGGAGAAGGGACATCAAGACGAGGAAGAGTCGCAGCTGGTCTTGATTCAAATGGAGAAAATGCAGGTTGAAGAGTTGTTGGAGAGATGTTTGAGGATGGATATGCACGTTGTTGTTCTGCATAAGCATGATCGTAAACCAAACGTCCCTGATGATATTCTCCAGCACGATCGTATCTACGATGTTCTGGGCGCGTGTAAGATTGAGAATGGTAATGAGGTGTCAACAAAACCACATTTGAAGAATAATGGTAGTCAGGATGTTGAGGTGGATGTACCATTCTTGGACGATGATTTTGTTGTCGATGTTCGTGATCCTGACGAGGTTCATAATCATCAAATGATGGATTATTGATCATATCTGGAGATTCTGGTGGTGATAATATCAAGGATTGAATACTATTTGGGCGAGAATTCTTTTGCACTGATGTTACAATGTTCCTATTATTATTGTTCAAAGCAGGTTCAATCTGTCCAATTGAAACGGAAATAGAAGGAAGTCTTGGTAAATTATTTTGATATTGATTTCCTTTTTGATGATATCCGGACATATTATTATCAACGTTCCTTTCAACTGGAGAAATGAGTTGAACTTTTGGACAAGGGATATTATTCAAAGACAAAGTTGGAAGCTTGCGTGAAGAGGTATTAATATAAGAATTTGTACATCGGTGTTCCACCGGAGTTCTTTGTTGATCTACATTTGATTTAAGATTAAACAAAAAAGGAAATAAAATTAATTTACGAAAATGTATATAAATCTGGTACTCTGGAGAATTTTTTTTTTTAAAAAATAAAAAGCTTTTTTTTCCATTACAAGCATATCAAATAGCTTATCTATTTATTATCTAAACAAGAGTATATTATTAATTTCTCTTAATTGAAATTTGGAAACACAATTATTTTTGTGGATTTGTTTGTTGTGGACATTTTGAACGCCAAAATGCGGCATAACATAACGGGGAAAGTTCCATAAATCCCTTAATATTACGTTGATAAACTTGTTGCTGTTGTTGATGATTAAATGACGAAATGGACCGGATAATTTTTAATCTTTTTGTAATTATCAGGTGTTTCTTTGTAAACTTATATAAATTTCGTTGTTTTTTTTCCTTCTTTTTTCTTTGTGGTATAATTTTTTCCCCTTGAATCGGAATAACGATCGGAGATTTCCGTAGAGAAATTAACATCTCAAAATTGTTTACTTCTTAGTATGATGAAAGATGAGTACCGGTATTCCATATTGCCACGCACGCATGAGATGCACATGACTTGCATTACATGATGGATCGCCGATCTTTTTCGCAATTTTTTTTTTTGGTCTCGAGAGTCACCGCAGTAAATACTTAAATCTGAAACCTGATTCCTTGTGCGGATTTTCATGTTTTCATATGTATTTGTTGGATTTTCATAAGTCCTATTTTCTATTTTTTTGCCTTGCTTGTACGTATTATCAACGAATATCTTGAAAATCTTATTGTTGATCATCCTCTGTATTGATCTTCAGCCTTGTTTACCAATTTTTCCCATCAACACCATCAAAAAAAATCTAAATTTAAAAAAACTATCTTTGTTGCCCTAATAATTATCATGAAAGCCCCCAAAAAATTCCAACTCAAAATCGCAGAATCCTAAAAAAAAGGAGGAAATAAAAAAATATGTATAGCTTTACTTACCATTAAACATTTCTACGGGTGAATCCAATAAAAATTTAATGGGAGGAAGGTATGTGGTTGAGGCGGTTGAGTTGTCGGTGGTTTGCATTTTAAGTGATTTAAATTTAAAATCGAAAGATAAAATAAACGATTTGATCCAGTGGAATATAAGTTTTTTTTGACGATCGTCGAATCGATTAATTTGTTCTTATAAAATGATCGTATCTCTTAAGAAAAAGAGAAATAATTCGTAAAAGTAAATTTACACTTATAGCGCAGGTAAAAAGGGAGATAACGTAATATAAAAATAAACGGATTATGATTAAATTTTAAAAAAAAGGATAAAGGAGAAAAACCGCAAGGGAAATATTCGTCAAGAAATTTCGTGGAAGGGGTAAGATTCTTCCTTAATGGCGTAGGTTTTATTTTTTAATTATTTTTCTTTTTTAAAAAAAAAATTATATAATAATAATAATAAAAACGAATAAAATTTTAAAACGAAATAATATATATATCTATAATAAAATCCTTTAACCCGATTTTAACGAACGGAAAAAAAGTAAGATAATAAAAAAGATAAGAATAAAATAAAATAGTAATAATAAAATACGAGAATAATATATATAGATTTTTTTTTTATAAAATTTTTTTTTTTTATATTTAATAAGAAAACACTGAAAAAAAAATGATTTGAAAAGTTGAGTGAAATAGACACCAACAGTTAAATGAGAATTGCAAAAATTACTCTATTTATCTATTTTTTTTTTTTTTTTTTTGGTTGGATTGGATGTTCATTTTTGACTAACCAAATTGTTATAACATTCCGGCAAAAAAAACAATAGCAAATTTTCTTGAAATCTATGGATTATGATGTACAAAAATATAAGCAATATATTACGTTAATCATTAATTATAAAAGGTTGTATGACAAATTACCTAATTCTCTTTTTGAAAAATTTGTAATAATTTCGATATATTTACAAGAAAAAAAAAATATTTACCACCTTTGCCGAATCATATATGACTGAGGTAACCAACAAATAGTCATTTAATAACGGGTGTTGAATCGTAACGTGGTGTAACACTTAATTGGTCGTTATATCAGAAATAGTGGTTACAAAATAAATAAAAAATTTTTTGTCATTAACATCATTACGTCAAATACTCCAACCACCACTTTTGCAGATCTATATGAAATTCAATCAACTGATAATCCACATGCATAGTAATAAGATTCTTAAGGGTCAGAGCGCGGGCAATCGCGAGTTCCCGTGGGATCGACGGATCTTCCAATAAAACGTTTCCTTATTCAGATCATATTTTTGGACCATATGACAAATTATTTGTTTGTATAAACAGAGAAATGAAAAAAAAAAATTTCCTGATTATGAATAAGTTGATTATCATATTACATATGAAAACATCGTGGGGATCGTCATTGGTCTCAGAAATGAACTTGAATATCCACTAAAAAATCTTCCCACTCTTCTAAAAAAATTTTCATTCACAATTAGGATAAACCTTATTGTTCTGTTCCCAAAAACAATTGAGTTAACGATTTTGACATCTCACGTGATGCTTGTCTGCTCGCTTTACATTCTCACATGCTTGAACGTTTCAATCAAGTTAGAAGCATTTGATATCTGTCAATTCATCTGTTCAGCTTTGCCATTTTCTTATCACAATGTAACTTACTCATGTCAATTTCTCCGCTTGGATGCAAATGCAATATCCCTTTTTAATTAATGAATTTCTTTTAAACTTTTGACAATTTATAGTTCATAACCTTAATAAGCAAAAGTAAATGATTTTCGATTGCATGATGTGCAAGTGTATCACAAAACAAACTCAATCTTTAAGTAGCATTACTTCTTGTTATGGTTTCTTTCTCTTTTTCGACCCTTTCTTCTTTCCCTATTTAATCTTTTCTTTATTTTCGTCAATATTTACAAAATTTACATGATTATATTTAGGAAAAATAATTCATATCAGATAACCGCGCGAGGTAAGTATCCTTGCGATGTTTCCCTCCAATGTTTTAATTTTAATTTCGTTGCTCCAGAATCAATTAACAAATTGGTGTGTCGAGGATTACAATGTTATAATGTTTCCTTGTGTACTGTATATAATGATAAAATCAACGCGTCCTTTAACTCTTTGATAAACCTCTCATACCTTTTCCTTTTTGTTTTTGTACATTATTATAATCACAATTTTTGCTTTAGGGTTATTTAATTATTTTAATTGACTTATTTGAAAACAATATATTTTATTTAAATTCCTTATTTTTCATAAAAAAATTAAATAGAATAAATTCATTTTAAAAAATTTTTTATTTATTATATATATTATATAATCTTATTTTATTTATTTATTTTAATTTAATTTAATTCTGATATAATATATATATATATACATAAGATTTGGCCTTATTTTAAGTTTGTGAATTTCCGTTGTTTTTTTTGGTTGTTTTTATTATATTCGGTAATTGACCGTTTTTTTATCTCTGTCGCATTGCATATCAAGCAACTGCACTTGTATAAAATGGTTGTGGATCATGTGAGATGTACGATAGATAGTGTAACCGTTGAAAAAAATCTTTTTTTAACCCTCCTATTCGAATATGGTGTCTTTAGAACAACAGTGGAATAAGGCAATTTTAAGCTTAAATCAAAATAAAGAAGGATTAGAAGGTTTAATACAATCAACAAAGGTTATTATTTATTCATATTTCTCTTGTTAAAATGTTATATTGATAAGTTATTAAATGATTTCTTTTTATGCTCAGGCTTGGTTGGTGGTCACTGGCTGGTTAAACCCTAGCATTTATAGCATCGATCAAGAAAGTAATAAAGATTAAACGTTGTAATTGTTTTTCATTACCATAAATTCGCTCAATTTATTTTGATTGATCATAGTTCCTGCTGATGTTAAGGAATATTTACAAATTCTTATACAAACCCCATTAGCTAAACGTTTGGTTGAATGGTACCTCGGTAATATCGTTAATTTTTTTATTCATGTATTTTTAAAACTTTGTATTAAATTTTAAATTTTTTTTTGTAGATGCCATTTGTCAAAATTTTAGAGAATGTTTTGATAAGAAATTGCATCAATGGCGTGAAGCGTGGGTAGTATGTACTGAAGGATTTACTTCTTTCTGCTTATTTGAAAAAAATTCGACTATATTATTTATTTTTGTGTTAAAAATTATAGCAATTACAAAAAGAGAATATTAATTCTTCCGAAAAAGATCAAATGTTTGACGATTGGATATGTAAATCTTACACTGATTTTATAAATAGTATTTATTCTCATTTTAAAAAGTGTCAACATCCATTACTACTTATAGCAGCAAGGTTGGATCAAAATTTTTTTTTTTTTTTATAGAGTTTTCACTTTTCTTGTTCCAAGGTTTCTCAACTTTATTTTTCTTTTCTTTAGTGATGAATCTATGAAAGAATTTCGAATTCGATATTATACCATATTATATTCCTCATTAAATGACAAATCAGAACCTAATTCTACCATACCATCCTTATTTAAAGAGATGACCAAAATTTTTTATTGTTCCTTTTTTCGTAAATATAATAACTTTATGAAATATAACCTTCCCAATTCTTCTGGATCATCATCATCATTGCTTTTCAGTATGAATCAACAACAAAATGATAAGTTTGAAAGTATTCTTTTCGCTTGGAAATCAACAGATGATATCAATGTATTATTTTCAAAAAGAGAAAATAATCTTGATAATGAAGATAATTCATTCTCGGTAATGGAGTTGGATGATGTAGATTTTGATGAACTCGATATCTCGTTACCAATAGAAGACGAGGAAAAGTTTTTAGAGGATCTAAACCTTTATATTGTTGGCTTTTCAAATTTATGTAGACAAATGCATTCATTGGATTTAATGAAACGTACAAATGATGTTTTAGAAGAATTATTATGTGAAGAGATTGAATTAAAAATTCAGAATACTTGTAAAAGGACTTTTGATAAACCTATGCTTAGACGTTCTACAAAATGGTTATATTCTACGGTCTATCCTTGGTTACAAATCATACTATCCTGCAATTCCCATCTTTCACATGGATCTGTTGAAGGTATAGTCAATATATATATATTTTGAATTCCGATTTTTTGCGATATTTTAAATCATATATATAAAATAAACTTTATAGACGAATTGGTGACTTGGTCAAAACGATTAAATTATCATTTTTGCATGGTATTCTGTGACTCTAGGTATATTTCATATAATCATCTAATTCTTGAATGATTTATTTACGTTGCAATTCATTAACCTTTGTCACCGCTCAATTAGGATTTCAGAATTATTCGATGTTATTGTAGATTTCCCGGATTCGAAAATCGCTATTGATGATTTAATTGTGTGTGTGATTTTTGGTTTAATATGCACCTAAAGGTTGCTCTATTAATATAATTATTTTTTTTTTACGTAGATGTGTATGAAAAGATTAGACAAAGATTATAGACTTCGACTTGTCGAATCTCTCCATATAGCGTAAGTTTATTAAAAAAAAAAAACGTATTATCACTTCTTCTCTGTTTTGTAAACTAACTCATTTTTATTTATAGATTTCGTAAAAGGTTGTTAATCCCGGGAGCCGGTACAATGGACATAATTAATACATATATTTCTACTATAAAATGCTTAAGACTATTAGATCCATCTGGGGTGCTTTTGGAAAAAATCACGGGACCATTTAGAAGTTATCTAAGGTACCGTTTATATGATCGATCTACTATTATGATTTTGTGGAAAAGGTCTTTCAATTTTTCTTCACTTTGATAGAACACGGGAAGATGCTGCTAGATATTTAGTAAGCAATTGGATGGATGATAAAAATGGAAATAATGAATTGATTGAAGAGTTGGGCCGTACTGAAGAACCTATGGATAATCAACAGAATGTTCGGTTTAATGATGATAATTGGTTACCGGATCCAATGGATGCTGGCCCAGGTTGATTGGCACTTTGATTGATGTTTTAATGAAAAATTGTCGTGTGTTAACAGCCAATACTTTTCTTTATAGGTTATAAATCGTCGATGTATCGATCTGCCGATATAACAAATTTACTTGTTAGTTTATTTGATTCTACAGAATTAATTACAAAAGAAATACAAAATCAAATGGCATCTTATTTATTAACTAAAACTGACTATGACACAGAGAAGGAGGTAATGTATATTATTACATGATTTCTTTAAAAAATATATTGTCCGTAAATCAATTAATGCTAAATTAACGTTTGGTTTCTAGCTTATTAAACTAGAATTATTTAAACTTCGATTTGGGGAAGCAAAAATGTCGGCAATCGAGGTTATGATTAAAGACATTGCCGATTCAAAAAGGATTGAGTCATTTATTCGTAGTAATGATAATCCAGTCAGAAGAAATATTCCGGAGGAGGTAAATATTTTACTTAAGTGCTATATGATTAAAAAAATATAAATATACACATATATATTTATTTAAAAAAAAACTTTTTGGAATAATCCCACAATCAAAAGATGATATTGCATGGTATTGTAATATCCAGGTTATTCTGGCCTACTCTTAAGGATGATGATTTTGATGTACCTGAGTCAATTACCGAGTTCGTATTTACCAATCAATTTTAATTTTTTATGGACATTTGTTTTTTACATTTTATATTTGGATCAATTATAAATATATTTATATTTAGTGAAATGGCTAAATATAATGAAGGATTCCAAGTATTTAAACCAAGAAGAAAGTTACAATGGTTAAAATCACTAGGAAAGGTACAAATAGAATTAGAATTACAAGATCGTACAGTGGAATTTGAAGTCGCGCCTATTTATGCTACAATTATTCAGTATTTTCAACAACAAGGTAATGTAATAAATGTATGAATATTTATTTATCATTATTATTTTTTTTTTTTTGAATTTAAATTTTTTTAAATTATTAAAAATACCTATCTTTATTTATTATTAATAGATAAATGGAATTTAAATGACTTGGCAGCAAAAATCAAAATTGAACCTTCCATGTTGAAGAGCAAGATGAGTTTCTGGAGTGATCGTGGTATTTTGAAGGAATCATCGAATGATGAATGGATATTATTAGAAACTGCTGAAGATAATTCTAATAAAGGTAATTAATTCATCAATGGTTGATATAAAAGTTACATTCATTTTCTTCTCTCCATTTATAATTAAACATTATCCGATAATTAACTTGTTTAGGATTCGTAACAAATGAAGAAAGTGATAACAATATTATACAATCGTTAGCAGAGCAAAAAGCCGAAGAATTTAAAATGTATTGGGTATATATAGAAAACATGCTAAAAAATCTTGGAGGCATGACATTAGAAAAAATTTATGGTATTTTATGTTCTGTGGCCGAACCTTCATCTTCATCAAATAGTATTGATAATAATTTAGAAGATTTAAAAATGTTTTTAAATCAAATGGTTGAAGAAGATAAGTTAGAATTTCAAGGTGGAATTTATAAAGTTAAAATAAACGATTAGGTTATTAGAAGGTATACAAAGTTGGATTAAAAGATGGGCAAGGAATTATTTTGGAACACATCTAGCATTTTAATATAAATCACACTTTAATTTGACATAATGTTATTTAGTGATTATATTGTGTTATGAAGATTTTTTCATCAATTTGTGTGATATTCCCGCGATTAAATATGTATGAGGATTCTTATTAAAATCATTACAATCGAAAAATTATTTCATCTTACTGTGAAATATGATAATCAGATTGATACTTTTAGCGGCATATTTGCCAAATTCCTTTTGCACATTTAAAATGAAATGCATCTTTCAACATAATTAAATTTTAATACAGTATATCATCCAAGGCGCATCAACACATCTATCTCAGGTGTTTCAATAATTATCGTATACACAATATTTTTAAAAACAATCCTCTGATTTTATACAAATAACCAAGGAACGCGAAAATCTAGTCTATTTACAAGAAGATAAGAGAAATATTACATTTATTTAAAAAGGTTGTATGAAAAAGTATAAGTTCACATCACTTTGTCACCATTCAAGTATGAACACATTACGTTATGAAGTTCTCGTTTTACAATTGTTCAGGTTTAATGATATTCTGTTCCCCACTACCAGTCACACTCTCTCGATTCACGTCTCTTGGTAAAGGTTTTCTCATATCTATTAACAGGAAAAAAAATATTAATTTTAATTATTATCAGAAAATATTAAAATCGTGTCAAGGAACATTAACGTACCGAATGCATCTTCCTCACTATTGTCTGCTGAAGAATAATATCCAGCAACACATCTATAAACACAATATCCAAACTTCTTGTACATTCCAATCGCAACAGAATTTGACTTGCGAACGAATAAATCGACAAAGTATCCATTATAACTGTATTAATAATATTCGTCAGATGAATTCTTCTGACATGAATATTTATAAAAAAAAATAAAAAAAAGAAAAAATCATACGGACATTTTTTCTGAAACCTCTTCTAATAAGTTCATCATTCCGTCCGCTAACCCTAAACGTCGATATTCGGGAGCCACAGTGATTGCTGTAACATGCCCGTGCCAGTCTTTACCACGTCCCTCTGCCTTTCCCATTACTACAATAACGTGATGATAAGTAAGGGCATAAACGAAACAAGGAGATATTTATAAAGAGCTTAACTGTAACCCATCATGGCACCACTAGGTGATTCTTGAACACAAAAAAGGTTTGGCCAACGCGCCAAATAAGTAAGATAGAATTGAATATTATACTGTCGATGATTGAGGAATCAAAGTTTATGTGATAAACCAGTGCGAGAAAATAAATTGAAACTTATATATAATTAAATTTTTTTACCGTCTCTGTCAAGACATCGAGATTTCTTTAATTACAGGAAAATTAAAAGATAAAATATTTTTTTTTTTTAAAAAAAAAAAAATAAAAGGGAGGCTCAGTTGATAGGAATTTAGAATAAAAAAAAAAGGTGCCATTTTAACATTTACTTACACATTATTGAAGCGAAATAAATCAGTGGCTTTGAAACGTCTTAATAAACTCATAATTACAACGGAAAAAAAAAATCTTTTGAAAACCCAATATTTTTGAGAACTAGGAGACGAGATCGCGATCTGATCATATGACTGATCTCGGTCCAATCTCAGAGATTAGACCGGATCGGTCCGTCACTATAACAAAATCTTAAGAAATAGAAATCAAAGTTTCAGATTTGAGAAAATGCCATTTTAAAGGTTTCGCTACCGAAATATGATAACGATTCTAGGAAAATCTATTAGAAATTCCCTCTCAAAAATTGAGTCGATACTGATTGGTTACTGCGCTTTTCCCGCTTAACAATCGAGTCGATCCGTAATTGGAGAAATTAATGCGATTTGATATTTATAAAAAGTTGATTATCAAAAATATGTTTATTTTATAAAGGTCTAAACCTCACTTGGAGTTTTTCAACGATTCATTGAAAAATTGTAATAAAATTCGTTTAATAATGAAAAGTATTTATTCTATTATGTTGTAAATGAGAAAACAAATAAAGCCAATGTTAGCCAGAACTTCATCCGGACTAAATGTTATGATTACAAATCATGCTTTTATTATAATAAGTATTGCATCCCGCTAATAATACCATTCTTTAATTTCGAACTTTATCTATTCAACAATTGTATTATATCAAGTATGTCAAATATGGTGGAGGATCAAAACAAAAATACAGCCATCATTGGTTTTAAAAATAATAAGCTTCCACTATAAAGCTTGTTTAAAATCTATAAAATCTATGTTTTTGTTAATTTCATGTTTTGATGCTTACCTCAAGATATATTAAATATTGGATAAATAAGGATCTTTAATTTATTAAATCAAAAAAACTTCGACGTTAAATTTCTGAAAATATTTAACATTAGGATTTTGCAATCAAAAGAGAGATGATTCCAAAAAAATTAGAGTTTAATGTTAAAAACTGAATTAATTACTAAAAAAATCGTTTTATATATAAAGAGAATTTTATTATATTTGTTGTTTTCTTTTATATTACAAAAAAATTTTTTTAAAAATGCTAATTTTGTGTAAATATTAAATTTCAGTTTATTGATATTATAAAATAAAAATATTACTAAAAGGTATCATAAAATTAGTTGAATATTCATTAAAAAACTTTTTATTATTCCTATTAGAAATAATAAAATTTTTAATTTTTAGATTAATATATATTTAAAAAATTTATATGTATAGCTTTATATAACTTATTGCTTATGTAAATTATATAAATTTGTATTTAGTTTATACTAAGTAAATTCTATGTAATCTTATAAAATATAACTTATGTAAGTTTGCTTATACATTTTTATATAATATTATGTAATTTATACATAAAACTTATATCAAGTTTATATAAAACTTGTGTTTAAAAAATTTTTTCTAATATATTTTAAATAAAGTATTAATATTACCGTAAAATCGTGAAAATAAGCACCCCTTGAAAATAAACACCCCTGTGACTTTTGCTATCATGTCTGTAAAAACT